TTTTAAATCTTCCTGTCTTAGGTGAGATATAAGTCCTTATGTTTTTCTGTCAAGCATAGACGCTTTCAAATTTTAAATATTTCCATCTTAGGTGGGATTTAATTTCTTATGCTTTTCTGTCGAGCGTAGACATTTTTAAATCTTAATAATTTTCGTCATAGGTGGGATGTAAGTCCTTATGCTTTCCTATCGAACAAAAACATTCTAATTCCTAAATCTTTTTGTTTTAGGTTGGATGTGAGTCTGTGCTTTTCTCCTAAGATAAGTATTTTTTATATTTCTTTTAACAATTTTCAGGTTGAGTGATATACTCTAGTGCTGTGCTTCTTGATCCAGTCATCTTGTTCACCTTTTAGATTGGATGTGAATCTAGAAGGTTTTCCGTCCTAATTTGTTCAGATAAATCCAAAAATTCTCAGTGGATCCCAAAACTATAATCTCGAAATATCCAAATGCAAATCTTCTCATTGATTGTTTCGGTCAACATCAATGTGTGTGTTGTACTTTGAACAGTTTACCATACATATTAGGGGTCCATTTATTGACCTCATTTTTGGGTCACATGCAACTTCCAGGTTATATGAAGCTTTCAAAAAGTTCACAGCATCTCTGAACCCTAAAACCAACACACTTGCCTCTTTCTAGTCTGGCTTGGCCACTCCAGGTCTGGGACGTGACCACACCCCCAATGCTATGTCAGTGATCCGTGATCTTTCTCCACAGATTCTCATCCCAACTGTCTATTTGATCGGATGGCTGAAAAAATCCAACAACTATCGACGATTGCGGAAACCACAGGAGTAATCCAGATCGTCAATCTCCCATCTGAACGATGACCTAGGATAGCCGCCGCCTCCTATAAAAGGTGGTTGTTCGTTCTTGTCGAGGTGCTCTGTGTGCTCGATACGCTGTGCTTGCTAGTAGGAAGTGAAGGAATCCAGTGGTGAAGCAATCAAAGCTAAGTTCTCTAGTTAGCTGCCGCTTTGTAAATATTTCCTCCCAATCCTTTTCCTTTTAAGTTAAGTGTTTAATTTAAGCATTTAATTTCAGGATTTTAAAAATCTAGTTTATGTTAATTCAGTAGCCTTGGATTAGGCTTGGGTTTGAGTTTGAGTCTGGTCGACCCGAACCCGACCTAATCCTATTGCCTAAAATGTTTTAACCCTAACCCTTAAGCCTATTCCAGGTCTGACCCAACCTAGACTTGACCCAGCTCAGATCTAGCCCAACCTAACCCAAACCCTAAAACCTATCCCTAGTCTGAATCAACCCAGACCTGACCCAGCTTAGACCCGACCCAACTCAGGTCTAGCCCAACCTAACCCAAACCCTAAAACCTACCCCAGACTTAACCGAACCTAAACTTGACACAACTCAGATATAGCTCAACCTAACGCAAACTCTAAAACCTAACCTAGACCTGATCTAACCTAGACCCAACCCAGATCAGGTCTAGTCCGACCTAATCCAAATATGTTGAAATACTCCGAAACCACTCAAGTTACCCAAAAATACCCCGAAGGCACTCAAATGACCCAAACACTCTAAAATCACTCAAATGATCTGAAACACTCTAAACTCACTCAAATGACTCAAAATAACCTGAAACCACAAATGAACTTAAACAACTCGAGATCACCCGAATGATGAAACACCCTGAAATCACCCAAATGACCTAAACCACCCCGAAATCTTCCAAATGACTTGAAATAACCTGAGTTACCCAAAATAAAATGGTTTTTGGGCTATTAATATATTTTCTTATGTTGTTTCATGTGTGTGCTTCAAATCAATAATAACAAAAATACATAAAATAAAAAGGGAGGAAAACATCTTGCAAAGTGGTTTTTCTCTGCAAACATAAAAAATATTAATCAAAACTTAGAGATATCTTGATTTCTCAATCATGGCCGACACATGAATTAAACATTGAACCCTTAATAAACGTCTAAAATACACAAAGAGAAAGAACGAGAATCAACCTTAGAGAGGACCGACATGAACTTTATGTTAGCTAACTTAGACACAAAACTTGTGGACATTTAGCTATCTCAGGTTAGTCCAAGTATATAAGTCTAGGTATCCTAGCTAGCTCTAAGGACTATGACCTATAAAACAAACAAACTTACCCCCTGAAGCTAGAGGGAATTCTCTATAAGGATTTAACCCATGGTTACAGATGAAATTATATCAGACTACTTCGAAACTATGAATCCTTTGACCTACGACATGTAAGGAGGAATTTTGGTTATGAGGTTGGTCATAGTGGACCGATACCAATGTGTCCGAGACGACGGAAAGTTGTGGGCATCTTGACCGGGTACTTTATTCCCAACCTCTAGGTTAGTCCATCTATTTTTTAAAGTTTAGGATTTCATTTTTCATCTAAAACTCTTATTTACCCAATTCTATTCTTGATTATTTGTCAGTCAATCAAGTGTTCTCGATTAATCTCTGGACCTAACCCGATCAATTTAAGTTTTCTAAATTACTTCCCATCAAGTATAGTTTTCTATCTAGGCCGTTATTTTATAAGTCCCATCAATTTAAATTCCTCTCTTCTAAAGCTTAATTTTGAACAGTTTGGTTTATCGTATTAATCAAGAGTTTTCTTTAGGGTCTATGATCCTAGAGATGTAATTAACTGTGAGAACTTGCTCTTATAGGAAACGAGGTTCCCAAAATTAAATCTTGTCTTACATTTGTGAGATAAAAAATCTGGTACCGCAGACCCATAAAGATTTCCTTATTCGTATGATTAGGTCTATTCTGAGGTAATATTGCTATTATTTGGGGTAATGTATTATTCATTGAATGTTGTATCGATCATTCGGATAAAAGTCTTCCAAGTTCTATGGTGGCCACGTAAAAAAAAAAACCCACCAATCTCTTTCCCCTCATAGTTCTTCCCTATTGTTAGGGGATCGAGATATGCCAAATTTGCTATAATCTAACCTTCTTTCTATTATGTGAGATATGAGCATGTGTTTGGTTTTTTGTGCTCTTTAATTTTTATGCTCTTAATTTCTAGAACTGAATTTTTGGCACTTTCTAGTTTTTGAAATTTGCATGATTATTGCTACATCATATCTGAATTAGAAACTTTATCTACTAAGATATTCTAGATCATATGAACATATGTAAATTATATATTTATTTTCTAGTCTCCTTCAAGGAGGCCTATCTTTTTCATACAAATCCAGGTTTCTAGTCAGCTTAAAATGAACTAGCAACTTTTTTCTCTGATACCGGATTTAACCCTACCTATATTAGGAAAAGCAAATATAATTACTGGAAGAAAATATAAGGTTACGATCAACCACATTTGAAAGGGAAAACACAACAAACATGACACATAAACTTACTTTAGGGCAGACCCTTGGTGAAGGTTAGAGGGCTTGATGAACTAGCGACATGGTAGGGAAGTGGTTTCCGGGCTGTGGATGAGGAGAGACAACGATTATGGGTGATTGGAACAACAGGGTAGGAAGGGACGACTGCCCAAACATTAACAGTTGGTTGTTTGTTGTTTTAGGTGGCTGGACAGCAAGAAAATAGCAAGCGGAGGCATTCTTGCAATGGAAGCAAGTTGGAATGAGGGGAAACAGTTGTTCGGGTGGTTGGAACAGCAGAAAATAGCCTGAACTGCTTTTTCAAGGCGGCAACAACAAGTGGGAATGATGGCGGCAGTGGCAGTGAAGGCGTGCGACCATGGGGCTGCTAAAGGAGGACTTTCTAGGGGCTGCGACAGTGAGAATGATGGTTGGACGACGACGAACTGCAGGAAGATAAAAATGAGAGTGCTGTTGGGGCAGATATAGCGAGGAAGAAGGCACATTAGTGAGGTGAGATGGATGTGGGAAGGGTTATGGAAGATAATCGCTATATGGAAACCAATATACCGGTAGTTGTCCTGATACAAAACACATGAAAGACTCCCTTCTAAACCCTAATACAATACATATAGGAAATTTCTAAAAAGGAATGAAGTATAATAGGAAATAAAACATAAGGAAAAATGTTTTTGTTTGGCGCCTCCCACAATAGCTGTTCCCGCGGTAATGTAGCAACTACAGTACCGCAGAAATTTTGAGCGGTAAGCTCCCTCGTCAATCTCTCTACTTGTGGCAATCATGGTAGTGTGAATGTACTTGGATGTTGTTAAAAACAATATTCAATTAGTTTTCGTGCAGAAAATTCACTAACACTCATAGATTCTTTATACAATTCATGAATAGAATCTACAAGTAATTAGGTAAATCTGGGGGCGATTTTGTAATGACACCAAAGAGATTAAAATTAATTTAGCAATGATGAGATTTAACAAAACCCAGGGCAATTTTTTCATAGAAAAAAATGCTTTAAAGGTTAGATAGGGGCGAAATAAGAAACAAACGCCATGCTTAATTAAATTGTAACAGCAAATGTGGTGAATTGTATTGCATTTATTATGCTTTTTTTGTTTTAGCAACATAGCTTCAAAACTTTGAAGCAAGAGCTTGGCTAGGTCTCTTTAAAATAGCTTGCTTCCCTAAAGTTTCACTATAATTATGTACGATGAAAAAGTTGAAATTAAATAAATGTGAAATGAAAATATGTTGATGAATTCCAAGCTGATATAAACAACTTTGTCCATCCTGTTTTGTCGATCCGCACAAATATCTTCATTATTAGATCTTAAATAGTTTCTGTCTGGATTTGGATTTTTAGTACTTGAGCTCCATACAATCCATCGCCAATACCTCTACCTAATGTTATTAACATGCTGCAGCCTTGGGGTTTTTCTTATTAGCTACTTCGTTTTTCAATAAGTATAGTAGATAAGGCATGAAAAAGAAAGCCATCTTCTTTTTTCTTTTCCTTTTTCTTATAAAATTCTTTAACAATGCAACTAAACATTATAATGGCTGGTAGATGTCAATATTGCTCATTATTCATGATAGCTAATAATGACATTTTCTATAAGTCTTGCATGGTAATAAGCCTTTGGATAATATCAGGTGCACAGGCTCGATAGAGACTGTAGTGGTCTTTTGATTCTTGGAAGAACCCAAATTAGCACTTCTATCTTGCATTCGATCTTCCGTGAAAAGACTTCTAGAACTTTGAAGGAAGTAAGTCTTGTCATGCTTACAAGCAACATTACCCAAAAAAAATGTTGATTTTTAGAATTTTTATCACTTTCTTTGGACTAAGAGAATTGTTTCTGTTGCATGAAATTTTTTCCTTAAGAACATCAAGGATGTTCCTCGATTGTTACAAAGGAAATACTGGGCACTTGTTGTTGGTACCCCAAAACATTCCTCAGGATTGCTATCTGCACCAGTAGGAAAGGTTGGATTTTTATTCATCTATTTTATGTTGCCCCATAAATGAGACCCTTGTAGTTGTCTCAGCATTTACTGACCAGGTGAAGGCAGAAATCAGGATTTTCTTCGGTACACAATTCATCCCGTGCTTTGCAAATTTTTGTTGAGATTATATAAAAACTAATATTTTTTTTCCTTTCATGTTTTTTATATCAAGTCCCTTAAATAGTGTGATTACTTGAAATGTGATATTCCTCTTGTATGTTTATTGTATTAATAATTTTTTACTCAATAAGTTTTTAGGTTATACACAAGATTTAAAGTAGTAACCTTAGAATAAAAATAAAGTATTTCTTTTTTTTTGGGATAAAGTTATGTTTAAATATGTACATGTACTTTTTATAAATTCATATTTTTGGGTGATTTCAAGTTAAAATTTAAAATTGCTTTGGGTTTAAAATAATCATTTTTAAAGTTTTTACAAATTGTAGTCTCAACAAGATGCATGAATGTGTGTGTGTCCTTGAAAAGGTGTGTGAAGAGAAGATTTTTGGCTTATGCATCAACTACTAGAGAGTAGAAAAGCGTGAGTGTTGTTGTTGGCTAATAATATTGGGAAGCTGGAGCTATGTGCGTCTTTAAGTGAAAAAAATGAAGGTGTAGCAAGAGGTATTAATTAATAGAGAAAAAGACACCATGGTAAATTCTTGACTGGCGTCTGCCACTTTTCTCTGTGGTATGATTCGATTTTAGGTGTGAATAGGTGGAAAGAGGTGTGTAGGGATAATTTAGGGTGGGAAAGAAAAATTTTCGGTGGAGATAGGGTTGGGTATGGGTGGATGCTAGAAACCCTATGATAGGTCTAAAATTAGGCTAGCTTTGATACCAAATATTGCTAGAGTTAACCTAAACCACAATAGAAAAATCAAATATTATTAGGGAAGCAAATAGGTGGTTACAACTAAAAACACTTGGAAGGAAAAATTCAACACACACGACACACAAAAGCATGTTAGGGCGGATGTCAGTGACGGTGGTGTTGATTAAATGACTTGGCAAGGTGGTGGTAAGGTTGGGAAAAAGATTTTCAGGCAGAAACAACAGGAAAGCAAGGGGCGACAACCCAAATAGTATTGGTTTACTGTTTGGGATGGCTGGTTTGCAGGAAAACAACAAAGGGGAGGTGTTGCAGTAATGGTAGTAATCTGGAGTGAGGGAAACAACAAACCGGGTGGTTGGAACAATAGAAAATAATCGGGAATGGTTGTTTCTGGGCTGCGATAGCGAGCGGGAATGATGGCGGCAACAGCGAGCGGAATGATGGCGGCAACAACGGTGTAGGCTTGGGATTGCAGGACAACCAAAAGAGGAATGTCCTGGGGTGGCGACAACGTGGAGGTTGGCAACGAGGAACTATAGGTAAAACAACAACAAGATTGCAATCAAGGTGACTGCAGCGAGGAGGAAGGTGTCATAGTGAAGAAAGATGGATGCAGAAAGGGATATGGATGATAATCACCATCTGGAATCCACAATGATGAGCTTGTTAATTGTATTGATCTCAAGCATAGTTTTTCTTGCAAAACCATCATGGCTTGCCTACGTAACCACTTTTACTTCTCCAATTGAAAGTTATATATGGCTCAACAAATTAAAACACCACACACATGAAAAATTCTTTTGTTGGCGCATGCTACATGATGCTATCCCTACATGCTCATGGCTCGTTCACAGAAGCCTAACCGAGGATCATAATTTATCTTAGGGATGCTCGGTTATTGAGGACATAACACATATTCTATCTAACCGCTTGTTTTTTACGGTTAAAGAGGTGTTGGTGAAAGAGGGAATCAAAATCCCCTCCTTTACTAATTACGACGATGCCATCAATCAACTTCACAAGTTCCTGAAAAGAATGATCGCTGATGCTTGCTCTTTTTGCTATATGGTCCATTGTTGTTGGAGGGCACAAAATGCTTTGCGCCACACCCACCAAGTATATGGTACCCCAGCAATCATTGCACCCATGATTCTTGATCCGTTCATGTTGACATAGCTTAACTTATTTCGGGGGTAATGGGATACTAGCCAACCCGCCACGTTGGTCTTTCCGCAATTCTGGTATCCTCCCCCTCTCGAATAGCTCAAGGTTAATGTCGACGGAGTCCTTCCCTCTGATGCTGCCGACAATGGCCTTATTGTTCATAACGAATGGGTATGTGCATCACGGCTTCAAGTCACTATTTTGAGCATTGGAACAGTACCAAAGTGGAGCTACAAGCCATAAATCTCTCCAACATGTTTGCCAACCGTGAATGTTCGAATGGGAGAAGATCATTATTGAGGGAGATAATGAACATCATGTACTTTTTGAGTTCTACCATGAAACGAGAGGTTTGGCACCACCAACCTTTGGAAGCACCTGATCTTTCCTTTCTTTTGAACTTTAGGAAAGTTTTATTTTTCTATACACCACGCAAATGTGATAGGACGGCTCATTTTTGTGCTAAGCTTGCTCTTAGAGGCTCTTTCGTTTTGGTGCAAGTAGAGGAATTTAGTGAACTCTTTTCCATGCTTGCAGAAGACAGATCACACTTTTGTATAACATATATACATACATGCATAGTTTTTGTACCTTTTTGATATATTAACATAATATGCACATTTCAAAGAAATCAAATACAGATGAAGGACCACATAAAACCTTAGGATACAACCCTCGAAGTGAAGAAGACACGTCGACCATTATTCCGATACAAAACAGGAAAAACTAAACCTAAAATCTCAGGAATATAAATATATAATAAGAGGATAACTATGAGTGGACCAAGAGGACTGACCAACTCCTCGGACAGGAGAAAATCTAGACTAGTTCGGTCCCATGCGAATTAGCGGGTTGCGACTTCATTTGTCGGATTCCTGCATTGGGAGCAGAGGCGCTCTTGAGTTTTTCATATGCATGTGTAATCTTATGAGTATACTTGTAAGCAATTATTTTAATGAACATGTCCATTAATTCAATAAGAATAATAACATCAGTAAAATCAGTATTGTCAACTCAAATTTGTTTTTCCGTAATATGGGTTGGTATCCGATGATATGTCGAAATTTCTAAATACAGTGTCGTAGCAATATATCATATAATAACCCGTTGAAAGATATTCTTCTTAATTCATATGATTGTCTCTTCTGGGTTGATGGGGCATCTTCACAGCAGTTTTCTTCAGGCTCATTTTGAGCTCATTACTGGAGTACACTACATGGAATTTACAATTCTCTTTTAATTGGGAAAATCTTTATTTAACTGACTAATTCAATATATCGACAAAATTAAATAATTTTCTTTCCTCGAATAGGATTCCCTGCATTTGAATATTATCACACATAATAATTTCATGAAAAGTATTTTCTACTCGCTAACTAAACAATAAGCCTATGAAATTTAAAATCATCTGAATAAATGCCCTTTAAGTTGATTTAAATAAATAAAAAAAATTTTCTGAATTTAAATAAAAATAATATAAATATTTTTTTTTAAAATACTAAATTTTCTCCCAAAACCTTCCTTATTTCTCTCTCATCTTTCCCTTTTTTTTTCCCTTGCTTTTCTTTTCTCTTCTTTTCTTTTTTCTTATGTTGTTCCATTTTGAGCTACCCGTTTTTGTCCCTTACTCTGGCCACAATGCTAGGGTCATGGATGCCTCAAAGCGTGCGAACGTACAATAAAGTGGGGAAAATAAATGTTCTATTGCATAATGAATCCTTTTACCGTAGATTCTTCACAAAGCCTTAAACAGAGTGCTTCCCGCATATTTCCCACAAATATCACCATGACAAAGGGGAAAAAATGAAGGAATGAAGGGGTAGTGCAAGTGATTTAAGCTATTAATATACGGATATCTCACTTAATCTTTTAAATCTCAGCAATTCAAAAAGTTATCCCGCCGCTACATGCACAATAAAGTGGAATTGCTTACATTATTAGATTTAATTAAATTATTATTTTGAACTTTATAAGTCAAAATATATCAGTGGGTTATATATAGTGCTAAATATCAATTTGATTGTTCCAAAATATAGAATTTTTTGAAAATAGTTTGAATGCATTCCAAGAGATCCTAAAAATTGCGTATATTTTAATATGATCAAAATTTTACTTGAATTAACTAAAATTAGGTATTACAATACTCTTCTTATAAAAAAAACTCGTCATCAAAATTTTTGAATAATTACTCAAATGGATGGTGGAATGTTTGCCTCATTTTATGTTCTCTTTCTCAAGTAGCTTCCTTCTTTGGTCTGTGCTTCCATTTTATTTTAAAATAAAAATTTGTATGTTTCTCAATCTCTTAACATCTCTTTCTAAGATTTTTTCCCTCTCTTTATTATATGTTAAATTTTTTTGTACCTCTATCCTCTTGTGGAATTCCTTGGCTCGAGTTTGAAACCTATTTTTTCAATATTTAAATGTGAAATACATCATGGATATTGGACATATCAATAGGTAATGCTAGCTTGCAAGCAACTTGACCCATCTTTTATATTATTGTAAGATGACTAATATATCTGGGGCTCAATTTGCATTTCGGACAAAATTTAGAAGTACCATTTTTCAGCCTAATCTTTAGAAACATGAAAGCATGTGCATCAAAACTTATTGCTTTATGCTTTGGATCATAATATTTATGTTGTCGATTCTTAATAACTTTTTTTTGTCTCTGATTAATCTAATTTTTTTTTTGTGGCTTCATCAACCAATTTAGAACCTAGCAATTTACGTTCTCCTATCTCAAATTCAACTCAATATAGTTCTATGCTTCTTGCCATATAGTGCTTTATTAAGAGTCATTTTAATACTAGATAGAAAACCATTATTATAGGTGAACTCAATTGTTGAAATATGATCCCTCAACTACCTCCATAAGTGAAGAACACAAAACCTCAACTAATATTTTATACTTAATTTGTCCTTTTTGATTGTCCATCAGTTTGTGGATAAGCTATGCTAAGATGCACGTGCATAGA